TATTAGGATGGTCCACCTTCAGGACTGAGGTGGGTCCAGGAAGTTACTGGCTAGTGTAACAATAGAATCTCATGGGAGAAGGGGAAGGAACTTTAAATAAGAAGTTAACAATGAGTGTGTGTGGGAGGGTAGACTAGGAGATAAAATTCTTTGATAACAAGTACATGGTACATCTATCTGCCTGTGCCTTCTGGGTTTGGAGCCCAATTTTGCAAAATTAAATTTAAAAAGCTTTACTCTCACTAATGAGTACAGATGAATTTCTTGAGCATTTGTCAGTAAGCACTCATGATAACGCCTCCATTACCAGGGTAAGGTCCGGGTCAGGGTTTATACTGACCTGCTAACACCTGAGGGACTGAGGCAGTAACCAGAGTCTCCACAATGTTACTCACAGTAGTTCAAGAGCAAGTTCAAAACAAAACACATCCAAATGAGTTAAGTGCCTTGGAGTTGTTTCTGACTCATAGTGGCCCACCACAGGGTTTCCAAGGCTGTAAATATTTATGAGAGCAGAAAGCCATATCTTTCTCTCATGGAACAGCTGGCTGCTTTACACTGCAGACAATGTGGTTAGCAGTCCAGTGCTTATCCTACATAGCCACAGTGCTGCCCATTAAAATAAGTGTTTTAAGAAAAACTTATTTCAGGAGATGTTACTAATGGTGTATTTTATTAACACTTTAATCATTACATAATGAAATACATAGTATCATAATGCTCATCAAACAAATTAAGAAAAATTCAATAAAAAGAATTATTGGAGCAAAAGATCACCTATTCTGTTTTGTTCTTTCCATGCTAGGCTAAGAAAAATAATACCTATATTTTACATTGCATTAAGACACACCTTCCATTCACTGTTATTAAAAAAAACAAAAAAACACAAATCCTTGGCATTCTATTAGTATATTAGAATGTAACAAACACATGTATAAAAACTTGTACTTTAATTTTTATATAATCCAGCAAACACACAAAGGTATCCAGAAGCATTCAAAAGCATGATGAGGTCATTTCCATTATGGCATGAGACAGCACTTCCTAGCCTTGCTGTTCACTGCCCAATTCTAGAAAGAACAGGGAAAAGTCACAAGTTCAGCTATTTTGTTCCATATTCCAACCCTGCAAAGGGTTGTCAATTAAGTTCAAATTTAACTGCAAATTGTAGAGATGATTTTTCAAACAAGGCACTATGTTAACTTTTTAAAAAGTCTATTTTTGTAGTCTTCAGTTACAGTAACATAAAACCCAGTAAAAAAGTTTATCATCCATTTAAAAATCAGGATAGTAGTGAGACACACGTAATTTGCGTACGGATTAATCTGTTTCTCTCAAAAAAGCATGTATAACGTCTGCAAGCCAGTTTATCATACAATATGGTTCACTGCTATTTATAAGATTTTCATGGGCTAGATAGTCAGAAGTAGTAGTATAGCGCTCATTCTTCCTAGTTTGTCTTAGTCTTGAAGTTGCGATGAGAGTTGTTCGCCATGAGTGACGCTACTGGCATTTAAAATACCAGTGGCGTAGCTGCTACTGTCCCAGCAGGACGCAAGCCACCACAGTAGGAGAGACTGACAGAGGAGTGATAGTTTAATATAAGGTGACAGTGACATAAACATAATATTGTTACTAAAGAGAGTAATATAAAAATAGCAAAATCACACACAAGAAAAAGGAACCCAAGAACATCATCAGTAGCTATATACTAAAGCAAGATAATACTTAAAAGCCTAATACATTTATGGGGTCTCATTTTTAGTAGGTGGTATGTAAATATGAGGGAACAGGGTAGCTCTGTAGAATAAGCACTGGACTATGAACATACAGTTGGCAGTTGGAGCCTACCAGTTGCTCTGTGGGAGAAAGATGAGACTTCTGATTCTGCAAAGATTTAAAGCCTTGGAAACCCTATACAGCAGAAGCGGGAATGTCTGGCCCATGGACACTATGGTGGTGGTGGTGTGTGTTGTAGAGTTGGTTCCTAATAATAGCTATCCTGTAAAAGGGTTTCCGAGGCTGTAAATTTTTAGGGGAGTAGAACCTTTCTCTTGTGGAACAGCTGGAAGATTCCAACTGCTGATCTTGAGGTTAGCAGATCACCTCTTAATCCACTACGCTACCAGAGCTCCTTATGGCCGTACTATTGTTAAGTACTGTAGAGTTAGTTCTGATGTACAGCGACCCTATATAGGGTTTCGGACGAGCGGCTGGTGAGTCTGAACCGTCGACCTTGCAGTTCAGCACATTAACCCACATTGTCACACCAGGACTTCAGTTATCACGTTGTTGTTGTTGTTGTTATATGCTGTGGAGTTGGTTCTGACTCACAGCGACCCTGCTCAGGGTTTCTGAGGCTGTAAATCTTTATGGGAGCAGAAAGCCTCATCTTTCTCCCGTGAACAGTTGGTAGTTTCGAATTGCTGACCCTAAGGTTATCAGCCTGATTCGTAACCACTACGCTACCAGAGTTCTTTAGTCATCGCATTGTTGTTGTTAAGTGCCGTTGAGTCAGTTCCGACCCATAGCAACCCTGTATAGGGTTTCCGAGGCTGTAAATCTTTACAGGAGCACAAAGCCTCATCTTTCTTCCACGGAGCAGCTGGTAGTTTCGAACTGCTGACCTTAAGGTTCACAGCCCAATTCGTAACCACTACGCTACCAGAGCTCCTTCACAATTAGGGATGAGTTAATTTAATGTTCGACCAAATATGTGGTTGTAGTGGTGGTATTCCCTGGAGTTCGCTCCAACTCAAAGTGACCCTGTATAGGGTTTCTGAGGCTGTAAATCTTTATGGGAGCAGAAAGCCTCATCTCTCTCCCATGGAACAGCTGGTAGTTTTAAACTGCTGACCTTGAGGCTAGCAGCCCAACTCGTAACCAATATAGTAGGCTAGTTAAGAACAATTCTTTTTACTGTGAATTGAGTGAAGGTTTACAGAGCAGATATCAGTTTTACATTCAACAAATCATACACTTTGCTTCATTACATGGTTGCAATCCTCTCTATGCACCAACAGTTAGCCGAATTCACCTCTATGGTGTGGTGCTGTGGTCTAATGCATCAGACAGCAAAGTCATTTGAACTGTAAGGTCAGTGGTTCAAGCTTACCAGCTGCTCCTTGGAAACCCTATACAGGGTCACTATGGGTCGGAATTGACTCAACGGCACTTAACAACAGCAGCATTCACTTAATGGGTCGCTATGAGTTGGAACCAACACTAGCGCACATAACCACCACCATTCACTTAACCACTGCATTCCTCCCGGTGTCTCCCACACCCCCATCTTTGCCAACCTCCCTCTGGGTGCATATGTTGTTGTTAATTGCCTTCGAGTCGGTTCCGACCCATAGCGACCCTGTACAGGGTTTCCGAGGGTGTAAATCCTTACGGGAGTAGAAAGCCTCATCTTTCTCCCGCGGAGCGGCTGGTAGTTTCGAACCGCTGACCTTAAGGTTCGCAGCCCGATTCGTAACCACTACGCTACCAGAGCTCCTTCTGGGTGCATATAGAGCAGGCTAAATTTTAAGTTGATAATTTTGTATGGTCTGTGAATGATGTTATAAATTTTGGCAGAGGAAAGGTTCCTCATCCCTACTATATGGGATGGCTATGAGTTGAAACGGATTCAACAAGAGCAACATCTAAATATGAAAGTTATTTACAAAAAAATAAATAAAAAAAACCCATGTAGTATTGACAACTTAACGAGCTCTGGTAACACAGTGGATTACAAGCTGGGCTGCTAACCAAAAGTTCAGCAGTTTGAATATACCAGCTGTTTAGGGGGATAAAGATGAGGCTTTCTGCTCCCATAAAGAGTTACAGTCTTGGAAATGCTATACAGAGTTGCTACGAGTGGGAAAGGACTCGATGGCACACAACCACCACCACCAGTTTTGACAAACTAGTACAAATATACTTTAAATTTAAAAAGTAGAGAACTAAGTATTCCAGCTCAAGATTTTTGTGTGTACTGATCCCATGCCTCAGTGGATTAAAAAAAAAAAAAAAAAAATTTTTGTGTGTACTGATCCCATGCCTCAGTGGATTAAAAAAAAAAAAAAAAAAATTCAAATTGAGAGGTAATCTGGAAAATAGCCAAAACACAAAATCCATAAATTGTAATCTGCTTCCTTTATTCTCTTGTGAAATTATGAGGAGTCACCTGTCTTTCCCTGCCAGTAACCTTATGGGGGTGGGGGGTGCGGAGTACACACCTGTCAAGCTTATAGTGTAGAATGTGCACATAGTTCTTTGTTTAATAAATATCCTTCCATGGGAGCGATTAGAGGTTTGTGGCTGGAAAGCAGTGAACACACTAGCTCATGCACTCACCTTTTGGTAGGCATTCTACAATCCAGCATCCTGTTACCGTCTCAAAATATCATCCAAAGTAAATCCTCTCCAAGTGTCCTTTGGAGTCCTGGTGTGGCACTGTGGGTTAATGCACCGGACCACAAAGTCTGCTTTAACCACAAGGTTGGCAGTTCAAGCTCACCAGCTGCTCCTCGGAAACCCTATAGAGGGTCCCTATGAGTTCAAACAGACTCAAAGACGACGGCACTTACCAACATAAATTTGAAAACTCAAAATTTTGAGGTCACATTCGATCCAGGAAGAGACAGTGGTTCGGAGGAACAAGCCTAAATGGAATTTAGGCGGATCAGTAACATTAGGAACAAACGAAGATTGAAGGGATGGGGTGCAAACTCACCTAGAGAAGAATCAGAAGCTGCACACAATTCAAAGGTCAAAGGGCACAACCTCAGCGGCTCCAGGACCCAGGAGAAATGAAAAGCTTACTCTTGATTGTCAGCGTTAAGGATACCTATAGGTTTAGCCGTTCCTGCCTTTGATGCCACAGACAAACCCTACTAGGCACTGCTGATGTCAGCAGAAAAGCCTGAATTTTGGATCCAGGACCCGGGAATTCCCATGCACAGTTCCCCCCCACCTTCCCAACTCCCTCCCGCTCCCGAGGCCAGAGACACCTTCAACCACTGTCGCCACTTTCTCCAGGCCCTCTCGCTTCTCACAGCATCGGTCTCTATGGCGACCTGAAACCGCAGTTTCCATTGGCCCGTTCAATATAAGGGCCGGGCCAATGGGGAGGGCCAGCCGTCTCCTTCCGACCAATGGGGCTGGCAGAGAGCAGGTCCGGAGACGGCGGCGTGCTGACGTTCCCGGGAGCCCGGGGCTGGCTGGCAGGCGGGCTGGCGGCTGGGCGGGCGGCGGCGGCGGCCTCTGGGCAGCAGAGGGGGCTCCGGGGCTGTCCGCGTCGACGCCGGCCGTGGAGGCGGCACCATGGGCACGGGGTAGCGGGGCAAGTTGGCCACCGCCGCCGACGGGGGTGGTGGGAGAGCCGCTCCGAGGGAGGGGGCGAGTGAGGGCGGGAGGGCGGGCAGCCGCTCAGCCGCGGCACTTTTTTAATTTTTCGGGTGCTGCAGCGGCGACCTCTCGGCGCCGATGTCCCTGATTCCCGGAGCGACGACGGTGGCTGCCTAACCTGGAAAGTAAGTGTGCGGGCTGGCGGGCGGGCGGAAGCAGAGACCACTGCCCACGAGAGCCCGGCTCTCGCCCCCTCGCGCCGGAGCCGGGACCTGCCTGCGCGGGGCGCGGGCGCCTCCCTCCCGTTACTTCGTCCGCACCGCCGCGCCGCGCCGCCGCCTCGGCTTTCCTGCCCCGCCTCGTGCTCCTGCCCGCACTCGCCTGCCTGCTCCCCTCCCCCCGGCAGGCGCACAAGTTTCACCCTCCATTTCCCGATCACTCTCCGCGGGTGTCCGTTCCACGCCGCGCAGACCCTCCCCACGTGGGCCTTTTCGGATCCAGATATCCTAGTCTGAACTTGAGCGCCGCGCCGAGCCTTCCTGGACGTCCGCCCCACGGATTCCCCGCTCCTGCCTACCTGGCTTGCCGCCCAGCGCCCCCAAAGCCCCGGGCGCCCACTCTCCCCACCCCTCGCTGCCGGCCATCCGTCACACCAGCCCCAGATCCTGGATCTCGACCCTCTCCCCGCCTCCCACGCCCCTGCTGTCGGCACCTTCTACCGCATGCCCTAGTCCCGCACTCCTGCCGGTCCGGGTTCCCCACCCCCTCGGTCCGGGGCGCCTCTCTCCGATCCACCCCGCCCGGTTCCCCAGTACAGATCCTCCCGCTGTCCTTCTGCCTCACCACTTCCTCATCTCCCTGCCAGGAGTTGAAACAGACCTGCGGCACCCTCCGGGCAGATCGGTTGTCCCTGCCCGCCGCTTCAGCGGCCCCAGCCTTCTCCCTTTTCGCCCTGCGGGGGGAGCGCGGGGGCGGGCAGAGGGGCCAGGATTTGACTGCGTGTTGGCGGAGTGCGACAAACAGCGAGCTCCGGCGGTGGAGGCGCCGCGGCGGCAGTGGCCACTCGAGGCGCAGCAATAGGCAGGTGTGTGTCTAGGGGGGTACGCGCGCCGCCGGCTCCTCGGCTAGAGACAGATTGTGCAGGAATGCGAGGAATGCACCAGGGGCAGAGTCAACACAGCCCACCGTGGCTACACGGCTGCATTAGCGCCTTACTGACCCAGCTCTCTCCGCGCAGCCAAAGGTCACAGGAGCATCTTCGGAGCTGGTGAGCCTGGGTCTACTCTTCTCCTCGCCTTGCTCCATGCGGCAGAGGGCGGTGGGAGGATTTCAAGCGCGGCAGGCAGTTCTGTTCCACTCTAGCTAGCCTTTCGTTTCATCTGGGGTTTTTGCTGCATTGGACTCCAGGACTGTGAATTTGGAGCCTCTGGTGGTGTAGCCAAGGTTATTGATCATTGCACTAGGCTCTTCCTAAGTTTGGTTTGCAAGGTTTGGGTAGTGTGTGTTTTTTACGAGGATTTTCTGAAAACCAGCAGATACAAGGTGGTCAAAGGTTCCCAGAGTGATGAGGTCTCAGCCAATATATTTTGGCTCTATCAAAAAAATAACTGTTAGCGCTCATGAACCGGGATGTGCTGCAAGAGAAATTTTGTGTGCATCACTTTACTGTCATAAGAATTGTAATTTTCCCCCCCTTTGTCATATTGAGTTGTGTTTAGATCTCCTGTAATACTTAATGAATAGAAACAGAGAAGCAGTGTTTTGGTCAGCGATGGGACAGATAGAACTGTCTGGTACAGTTAAATTCGGGGCGTGTCAGTTACCATTGGATGTAACACGGGAACAACATAATCATGTTCAAGATATCTGATATATTAGTGGCGATCACAGTTCTTCTCAATTTTCTTCTTGTTAGAGTTTGTCAGAAAAAGAAATACAGCCTATAACTTTTAAAGAATGCCAATTCATTTATATGTAAAATTGATAATGATTAGTATGCATTTTCGCTCAACTTGCATATTCGTTACTTAAGAAAAGCAAAATCTTGGCAGAAGATGCTTCTCTATAATTGGGCTCAGAGTCTTGTATTTGAGAAAGGAAATTGTAAGAATGCTTCTATTCGAATGCAGTATAGTATCGAAGAATCTTCATCTTGGGTACCTGGAAAACAGTGATGGGAAATGGAAACATGTTAATGTGAGCAACAAATATTGAAGATAAGAAGGGTTTTTGGATGTTGGAGAGGCATGCTATATGGTTTGCTTTGGAGGTTGACTATAGCTGTAATCCTGTCCACACTTGATTATTTTTGTTAGATTCAGAAAAATAATGCCAGTTGTCTAACATCAGCTGTCTTTGAACATCTACTTTGGGTAAATCAGGGTATTGTAAAATCTGAGATGAAGGCTTTTTAGTAAAAGACCATGGGAAAGGAAAATAGAAAACCTCTCCCTTTGCATGGAGAAGGGTTGTGGGGGTTTTTTGTGTTTTTTTGCTGCTACTTTGTTTTTCTGGGATGTCTATAATCAATGGACCTTCTAATTTAGAGACTTGATTTGTGTCCAGTCCCACTGTGAGGATATTGGGAAGTGCTCATAAATGCCAATAGGAAACTTTTATTATATAACAGTATCATATTACGGTAGATTTTAACAAGTGCTTATTTGATTTGATGTGAAGATTAGAAAGAAACACTGAGTTTCTCTGCTGAGTAAGCAATTGAAATAACCAATAACAGTTCAAGTATGTAGATATTGCATATACCAGATTGGCTTTGCAGGTGATTTTACCTGCTTCAGTTAGAAATATTAACATTGTAAACTTTCAGGCTTATTGCTGTAGGTTAGGATTATTATAATCTGTTTGTTCTGACTATATGAAAAAAAAAAAAGATGTGTTAAAAATGGTAATTCACCACAATTGAGAATAGCATAAATTGTTTTCACCAAAGTCCCTTCTTACGCCACCCCATTCCCACTTATATAAGAAAAGCGTGCTGCATTTGGTGTCTTGTATGTTATATTAAGGGAGTGCTGTGGCTTCATGCAATAAACACGGGACTGTGAACCACAGGTCTGAAGTTAGAATCCACTGGAGAAAGATGAGGCTTTACTGCTGCAAAGTACAATAGAAAAAGAAAAAAAGCCTCTGAAACCCTATACAGAGTTGCTATGTGTGGGGAACCTGTCGAGTGAGTTCCGATCCACTGAGACCCTGTATAGGGTTTCAGAGGCTTTTTCCTTTTCTTTTTAAATCCTTCCAAGGAGCTGGTGAGCTTGAACTGCCGAGCTTGCAGTTCAAACTGACTTTGCATTCCAGCTCATGTAACCACAGCACCACACCTGGATTCCACTGTGTTATATGAAAGATAATATGTTATATTAAAGGTTATAAATTGGGACATCTTAGTGCCCATGTATCTTGATACTTACCTCTATTGTTTTTGGAGGAAGATAAGAGAGCAGGAGTAATGATGGAATGTATAAGAGACAGGAAGAAGAAAGTAAGGGCAACTAGTATTCAACTGGAAAACAAGATTTTATACACATACACACACACATGATGGGGCTTCAAAAAGTTTGTGTAAAAATGCAATGAAAAGATAATGGACTTTTTCCATGAGCTTTTTGAAGAAATAACATTTCTGTTACTACTTCACATGTTGGATAAACTAAATAAAATACTGTGACTAATTCTGGAGTCCTGGTGTGGTACGCTAAGCACTCAACTGCTGACTGAAAGGTTCGTACTTACCAACTTCTCAGAAGCTCTATAAGGGTTCTTATGAGCTGCAACCAACTTGACATCACAGCAACAACATGACTGGCTCTACCGTAATTTGAGTGAACCAGAGGGTCAGTAGTTTGAACCCACCAGCACACCGCAGGAAACAGATATGGCTGTCTGCCTCTGTAAAGATTTACAGCTCTAGAAACCTATTGGGCAGTTCTGCGCTGTCCTACAGGGATACTATGAGTTGGAATAGATTCGATGGCATTGGGTTACCACTAAACACAGTTTAATAAAAACTGTAATGATTGTATGACTGAGTATTTCGTTTGTCTATATTAAATCAGAATTGCAATTTCCTTTTCTGAGATATAAATTGGCAAAGAAAGTTAAGTTTAATTTAAAAATTTGGCCAATTTTTAAAGTGAGTAATTTCTGTGCTGTTGACTAAGATCAATTTAGATAAAGAATTTTCAGACCTTGGATGATGCCAGCCATCTGGTAAGTCCAGTACTTGCTGTTATTAAGTGTCATTGTTAAGTGTTAATTTATCACTTTAATAATTCAGGGAAGTTACTTTAAGTTGTTGATTATGACCACTCATAACAATCCTGTATAATGTTTTCAGGGAGTGACTGGTGGGTTTGTGCATATCCTACAGTGCCACACCAGGCAGGACTCTGCCACTTACCTGCATCTTTAGAAATAGTAAGACGTTTTGAGAATGCCAAGTTGTTTTTTTTTCTATTTCAAGCCAAAGAAAACTCTTTCTTCATTCTAAAGTTGATAGCATACTCATTCTTAATTGAAAGGTAAATATATAGGTTATTCTAGGTCAATACGTATCATGGAATTGTATGTCACTTTTGGAAGTTGTCTTCACGCCTTCAGTACTGAGAGATAATTACTCGCTTAGTGTGTTAAATGGCTCTCTAGTGCTCTTCCTTAAAGAGTGAACTGAGGCTTCAGAAACCTAGTCTAGCTCACTAACTACAGATAGCTTTAAACAGAGAAAGAGG